AAGGGCTCTCCCCGATCTCTGGAAGGCTGCAGCCAGAGCAGGGAGGTGGAAGGCGTGTGTGGCAAAGTCCCACGTGCTGCTGGGGCCCAGCCCCCTGAGTCCCTGCTCCCCACACGCTTCCCAGCCAGCTCCCCTCCCTCCAGAGCTCTGGAGCCAGCCGCTGGCACGTCACTAGCTGCGTCAGGAGGCAGAGGTGGCCACAGCCTCTCCTCTGTGCCACCACCAGCCACGCTTTCCACGCTGCGTGCCCTTCCCCACAGAGCACAGTTGCCCCAGTTGGGTGCCCTCAGCTGAGATCCCAACCCGGAGCGTGTGGGAGAGCTCAGCCCCGTGGCATCCTGAGCCGGGGCAGGGTGTTGGCCCCGGTCACACGGCTGGGTTCCTGGTTTTGAAGAGTTTGTTTCTTTTTCCTGACAGTCCAAATTCCCCGTTGCAGTCCGAGGCTGTGGTTTTCTCTGCTTCCCTGTGCTGTGACGTGAGGCTCCTTTATCGAGTCTCTGAAGCATGCTGGTGGGGAGGAGCAGGAATTACACATAACTGCCTGCTGGCACGGTCGGCTCCTGGAGGGAGGCACGGCCCCACGTGCCTCCTTGACATTTGCTCTCCTTGGTGCTGCTAAAAAAAAATACCTCTACAAAACACTGTTGTTTCCCAAAAATCTGAAAACAGCCCAGCGTTAGCCCCAGGGCTGGAGGATGCTGGTGGTTGTAGGGGAGTTAAACAGTGCTGGCAGGGGCTGGGACTGGTGGGGACCAGGAGTTTGGTAGGAGATGGGTTTGTGTGAGCATCACGGGCGCCTGTCAGAGGAAACATCTCTCCCTTCTTCTCTCCCCAGAGGGAAGTGACCTCTCAGCTCTGTTGTCTCTTTTAATTCCCTTTCAGGCAGGTGACAAGGGAAGCAGGAAGAGATACGAGCCAGCAGACAAAGACAGGCCGAGCTCTCCTCCAGCCAAACGGGCCAACCAGTCACCTGACAGAGGTGAGACATGGGCCATCCCAGGTGCTCCTGGCCTGGCAGGGTTCCTGCTCTGCTGCTTGAGTGAAAAATATCCCGGGAGAGCCTCTGGAGAGGCTCATGGCAGGCATGAGTCCTTCCAACACCTCTGAGTGTGCCATTGCCAGCAGATAACGTGGGCAAAAAGCCACGGTGGGGGTGAGATGCTGGTGTGTGAGGTAAGCAAGGTGAGGGCAGCCCAAACCCAGCCTCGTGCTGCACGTTGGGTCCGAGTCCACTGCAGGGGGGAAAAAAAAAAAGCTCTTCCTTTGAAGGTGATCCATCCCCAGAGGGCTCCTGTTCTCTGCTGGTGTCATCAGAGAGGGGACAAAATTCCACAGCCTGCTGAAAACCAGACAGGGGGAGGAGGAGGGACTGGTCAGCCAGGGCTGCCTGGTTCTGACGTAGGAGCTGCTGATGCCATGTGATGTTGTTTTCCCTGTTGTCTCAGCTGTAGGTGGATCTTGTTGACTTTGGGTGCCAGCCAGAAAAGAATTTCTGTGCTAATAGCCTGGTTGCATTCAGCTCCTGCAAAGGCAGCCGTGGAAGGGACTGGGTGAGGGTGAAGTTCACTGGGATCTAGTTCAAAACTGTTGCTGAGCTGCAGGCAAATGAAAGGGCCGAGCCAGCACACTGTGCTGATCTTGTAGATAGGTAGATGTGGATGTAATGAGACACTTTATTTGTTGTCTGTATGTTAGAAAGCAGTTCTAAGCAGTGGCAAATGGGCCACAGGCTCTGAAGACAGCTCAGCCTCACGCCCCAGTGGCAAGTGGCCCCTTGGCTGAAATGCAACCAAGCAAGAGGCCTAGAAGAAAGATGGGGTAATCTTTTTAGCAGGACCTGTTGCAACAGGATGAGTTGATGGTTTTAAGGTAAAAGAGGGAGATTTAAACTGGAGAGAAGGGAGAAATGTTTGCTGCTGAGGGTGGTGAACCCCTGGCTGAGGTTGCCCAGAGAGGTGGTCTCTGCCCCATCCCTGGAACCATTCCAGGTGAGGTTGGATGATGCTCTGAGCACCCTGCTCTAGTTGGGATGTCCCTGCTCCCTGCAGGTCCATGACCTTGCAAGGCCCCTCCCCCCCCAACCCAGCCTGTGGTTCTGGGAGTCCCCCGTGCTGCTGTGCCCACTGGGCACGGACCGGGCGACATGCAGTTGTGTGCCAGCCCTGCCCCATGGCTCTGCTGGAGCAGCCTGAGGGGCAGGAGAGCACCAGGGCAGCTCCCCAAACCTGAGCTTTTGTTGTCCCAACAGGCTCTCGTGACAGGAAGGCCGCTGGGAGACTCTCCTCACCCAAGCAGGAGCGACAGAGGAGCCAGAACCCGAAACCTTCCCCTGCACAGACAGACAGGTGGGTGCCCTCTTGTTCTCCTGGGTCTCTTGGGAAGCCAGGCCGGGGCTCACCCTTCTCCAGCAGCCCCATCCCTCCTCTCGGGGCAGCTCTGAGGCTCCCTGGCCGTGGTTTCCTGTTGCCATGGAGGCACAGAGAGGGGAGGGACACAGAGCTCCCTGGGTGGGAGCCAGAGGTGCTCGGGGCTTCACATGGAAGCTGTTCCAGCTCAGGAAGGAGCAGGAGCCTGGGGGTTTTCTGGAGGTCAGTCCCAGAGAGAGGAGCCAAGTGGGTTAGGTACGAGCTGTGTCGTGCTGCTGAGGAAGGGGGTACAGCCCCTTCAGCCCCTTCCCCCTGCCCAGCTCCACGGGGCACCAGGTGCCCAGTTCCCTCTCCTCCATAGCCTGGCGTCCCCTCGGCTGCTCGCTTTGCTGCCAAGAGGTGTTAGAAGGTGGCTCCTGGATGGTGACTAGCCCTGGCTTTGTGCCTTTCTGTCCCTTCTGGTGGCAGGTGACCAGCTCAGGTCCTGTTTCCTGGCAGCCTGCACCCACTGCCCTGTAGGGAATATGCCACTGCAGAACTGGGCCTGTGGCTCCAGGGGCCTTTGGGCTGTGCTTTGCTCAGAGCCCCTTGGCTGAAGGCTTGAGGAGCACCTTCTGCAGCACAGCTGAAGCTTCCTCAGCCCTCCTTTCCCATGGCCAGCCAGTGGTGTGCTGCATTTCCCAGTGTCTTCCTCCCGAGGGTCTCAGGGAGCAAGTGGACACAGCCCTGTCCTGTCCCTCTGTTCCCTGGCCAGCAGGACTCATGTCAACCCCTCTCCCCAGCCTGGGCCATCAACAAGCCTCAGCTTCAGTCTCAAGACTCTTCCCAACCCAAAACCTGGCCCTGGCTGCCACAGCCCATCCTTCAGGCCCTGAAGTCCCATTTTCTGAAGAGGAATCTCACCCTTTCCAGGCTGCTGGTGTTGACCACACCTTTGGCTCGTGACCCTCTTCTGCCCCCCGCTGCCTGGGTTGGCAGTGGTGGGTTCAAGGTGCCCCTTGCCTGGGCATGGGCCTGGTTAAGGGCACTCTGGGTTCTTGTAGGACAGTAGAATGGTGGGTTTGTGTCCCAGTTTGGACTCTGGGGTGGTTTGGGTCATGCTTGCACAGCCCTGCTTCTCCGAAGTGGTGTAGGAGAGGATGGAGGTGGCATGAGCATAGGGGACAGTGCCAGTGGCACAGGTTTTCCTGAGTGGGCCAAGCCATGAGGAAGAGCTGGCAGAGGTTCAGACTGTGCCAAACCCCAGCAGGCTCCCAGTGCTGCTCCACTTCCCATCACCCTCATGCCCCATGAGGGGAAGTGGTGGGAGGAGCTGCAGGATGTGTGTCACCAGCCCTGGTCACAGCCCCACCAGTGCCAGGGAGGCTCAGGGGAGACCTTCTGGCTCTCCACAGCTCCCTGAGAGGCTGGAGCCAGGGGGGGGTCGGGCTCTGCTCCCAGGGAACAAGGGACAGGACAAGAGGAAACAGCCTCAAGTTGCCCCAGGTTGAAGTTGGAGCTGAGGAACAGCTTCGTCCCGGCAAGGGTTGTCCAGGGCAGTGGTGGAGTCCCCACCCCTGGAGGGGTTTCCAAGCCGTGGAGATGTGGTGCTGAGGGACACAGGTGGGGACCTGGCAGTGCTGAGGTAACAATTGAACTCAATGACCTTAAAGGGTCCCTTCCACCCAAAACTATGATTTGGGACCGTGGGGTTGCTCCAGATTTCCCTGTGCAGACACCGACAGGCTTCGATTTCCTCGCGGCGTGGCACCGGTGGGCACCTCACCCCCCCTCACCTCCTCCTCACCCCTTCTCCTCTCTGCCCCTGCCAGGAAGCGCCAGCTCTCACCTCAGTCCAAGAGCTCCAGCAAAGTCACCAGCGTGCCAGGCAAAGCCTCGGAGGCGGGCACGGCGGGTGCCAAGGGGGGCAAGTCCAGCACCCTGTCTCGGCGGGAGGAGCTCCTCAAGCAGCTCAAGGCAGTGGAAGACGCCATCGCTCGCAAGAGGGCCAAGATCCCGGGCAAAGTATAGTGGCCACCGGGCCACCCCCAGCTCTGCCACCTCCCCCCTTACCCCCCTGAGTGACTCTTCCTGGTTTTATAAATAGTGTAAAAGCAGCCAACTTTGGGATTTTGCAGTTCTTGTCTTCTTTTTGGCTGCGATTCTTTTTAAAGAGAAACCAAGAGAAACCAACACCTGCGAGGCATTCAGAAAGAGAATAGAAACTGACCCGAAATACACTGAA